CACAGATGATTCTATGGGTGTATGACCAAATATTCAGTTGTGGTCACCTATTTAACGTACTCCCAGAAAAATCAAAATTCTGTGGTCGCCATGGAAATTTTAGTTTAATTATTTTTTACATAAAACTTTTTTTATTATAATTTATTAAAAAATAAGGAACAAGTCTAGTTTAAGGCTCCCTCGCGGATCGTTTTGAAACTTTTACCACATGTTGTCTTTGGGGCCTTGATCACAATGGTATTCTTTTTTTTTGTGGAAATCGGTATTTCCGGAGATATGGGCCTCCAAAGTTCCGTTGGGGCCCTTATATTATCTCACGGTTTTTAACATTTACTGAGGCAATATGGATATCAATTTAATATATGGGTCTCCAAAATTCCGCGGGACCCTTCTTTAACTTTGTATGGGTGTTTGTGGGTATGGGTGTTTGTGGGTAGCAGATGGTAACTACGGCTACGCGACCGAATCTCCTTTTAATTAGAAAAGTTTTTGTGGGTAGACGGTCTTCGGCCGGGTATTTAAGGCTTTCTCCTATGGATTTGAATAGTGTTTTTGCAATCAGTACCTCAAACGCTTTAAATTGATACCCATATTGCCTCAGTAAATGTTAAAAACCGTGAGAAAATATAAGGGTCCCAACGGAACTTTGGAGGACCATATCTCCGGAAATACCAGACTACATGTGGTAAACATTTCAATACATAACTTAAGCCAAACATAATTAATTTTCTCAAATAGATTCTAAAATTTTTAATAATATGTACCATACACCCAACCGTATACTCACCGCAAATATAGTAAAAACAAAGGTGCAGAATTTATTAGAATCTCTAAAGCATACAAATTGTTGGGAATCAAAATAAGAGAAATGTTTGAAAATGTTTTCTTAACAATTTTTCAAACCAAAAAGCGGTGTTTCTTATGTATGGGTGAAATAGTTTCTTATGTCCGTGGTCTATTGTACTTCTAACAATGACATTTAAAGAATCGTTTTTGAGGATATAAGGATGTCAAATCTCAGGTGGTGGCTAATAGTTTTCGGTGCAAAGACCAACATTTCTCGGGTTAACCTCCTCTATTAGGATCTACTATATTTAATAAATCCGGTACAATGTAAACGTGCTATTAGGTAGGTATATGACGTCATTTATAACGACGGTCAAGAGACCGTCGAAATTGGTCGCTATAAGCGACATCTCATAACGAACAATATCAAAAAAAAAAGAACGTTTCTCGGGACTTTTTGGTAAGTTGTTATAACCGATATGACGTTAAAAACGATTTCCGATTAAAGTAGACTAATTCTTTAACATTTTATTGATTCCTAAATCTCATAATCTTCAATAATTCTCTTATATCTCTGTGTAAAATTTCATCACACCAAATTACTTTATTAAGCAGAAATTTAGGTTTTTTTCAATGTGGTTCTTTCACAATTCATGTTTCTTTAGAAAAAATAGGACATGTCGATTTTAAAAGACTTAAAAATTAACCTTTTTAACCTATAAAGTGAGTGTATTAACCATGCCCCGGATCAAGGTGTATTTAATAAGGTGCAAGTGACAATCATATGGTTTTAAACTTTTTTCTTTATTGTTTGTAAAGCAAATTGTCAAAAATATTTGTCAAAGATTCATTTCAATTTAAAATATTGTCTTTTGTTTTAGGTTGTTATTTTGTTATTAATAAAAGTGCAAAAATAATCCATTTATAGCGACGGAATATTAGTTAATGCCCCAAGTCGACAAGGAAAGGTGAACTTAAATCGGGTTTAAATCTGGCCGCTTATTTGTTCCACATATTTGCCGCAAGTACAACTTGGTTTCCAGATTGCAAATATACATACATATGCATATGTGTGTTCTTATGATCGATTCAATCCCAAAAGGAGATTGTTACGTACCCTGTGTTGAAATCTGCCCATAAATCCCCTGCTTCCCTCAAAATCAAGGAAATTGTGTTACATAGCCTGTATTAGAATTTGTTTATTAGTTTTTTACAAACACCTGGCTAAAAACAATTTTTTTACAATTTTAAATGAGATTCTGTTGCGTTGTCTATTGACGGATTGCATATGGGTTTGTGGTGTTTGACCGGGGATTTATGTCCTACAATTTTTCTACCAAGAAGCCACTTCTTCGAAAAATATATTGTAATTTTAAGGCTTACATGTGGGACACTTTTCAAAATTATTCGACCTGAAGAAATGTATAATTGTTTTTATTTAGTTTTGTCAAAACATTTTTGTAAGCATGACAATTTATACACCTTGCCCGGGATATTGAATAAATTTTTCCTAAAGTCGGTAGCCAAATTTATAGCTTTGATATTTTTATAAAATATAAAATAAACAATTTAGGGTTTTTTTTGTAAAACACTTCCAAACCATAGATGTTTAGTGTAGTGACCTGGTTTTGGTCAATTAACGCTTCTTTTACTGTCATATCTCAAATTGTTATAAATTTTAATATATATGCATTTTTAATTACAATTGCTAACTTGATGTCAAAAAAAATTTTCGTATAGAGATACCAGAATTAATGCACAATTTGTGTCTGAAACATCCACTAAAACATAGTGGATGAATACACACTTTCAATGAATAATAACAATATGTGAAAATTCGCAACTTGGCCATACGTTTTAGATCCCTGATCATATGATTCAATTTTTTTTTAAATTCCAATATTCGTGTTAATATTATTTAATTAAATTTATTATTACAAATTTGGCAATCAAGCCTAAAGGCCGTCTATGTTACTGAAACAATTTTAACCTAAACTTCTAGTTCCTAGACTAAATCTTAAAACCAGAATTTAAAAATATAATCTTATTTGAAGTTTTTAAATATATGATAACATAAAACAGGCCGAGACAAATTTACATAGCACATGAAAATATTATATGCGTAATAAATTAACATTTATTTTTAAAATTATCTCAACTTATTTTTATGATCTAAAACGATTCACATGTCCTAAAGACGGAAAATAATTAACAGGGGCTGGTCTACAACGGGTACCATAATTAAACAAAAATATGTTTTGATTTAATTCGCCAGTCGAGTGTGTATTATGAGATCAAAGTTTATCGCAATAAGTCATTGATTTTTTTTTAAATCGTCATAATCAAGCCGTTGCCAAAGTATTTATACCTATTTCAGCAAAATATTATGTGTAAATTTGTTTAGAGTGCTCAACAAATAGACACATTTTTTTGTTTTGTTTGTCTGTATATCATATTCTTAGGAATTGTAAAACACTTGAACGAATTGTTGATGTGGTAAAATATGAAATAAACAACCCTCAAAAAATAGCTCAACCATTGTGTATAATCTTGTATTTTTGCAATGAATCATTCATGCTGAAGCTACACTAATTCCCATAACTGAGTCCTTGGAAAAAAAATTGAGGCCTGTAAAGTTTTGTGACTATATTGAAAGCAATTTATGACAAGTTTTCAGTACATCAAGGGACATAAGTATCAATGGCCCCTATTTAAAATTTCTATTAATTAAGAGAAATTACAGAATGTCATGACCACAAACAATTAACAGTTCTCTCGAAGTACATAACAATACGGGAAAATTATGTGGTTTGTAATAAATAATGATTATATAAAGCAGCAGTCCTAGGAAAAGTAGTTGACTTTAAATTTGAAAATGGGAAGTAGTCCCAAAACATGTTCGAGATACCATAAAAGCATTTGTAAATAAGAAATGTACCAGGAAACATCCACAGTTGGAAAATTGTTGTCTCCATTGAGATATTAAGAAATTCAGGACAGAGTTGTATGACTGAATGAGGCCCTAAAAACAGAAACGGATTTCTAATGTGTATAATCGAATAAAGTGTTCTCTTCAACATATCGAATATTCTATTTTTAATTTTAAATATATATACTCTCCTGTTTTTAACTAAAATAAATATCGAAATTACCTTCAATTATTTTATCTTTGCCATAATACTACCTTCATAGTTTCTTTCCAAATGAACCCTTATATTATTGATCAACTTTAAATACTTCATAATATACTAATTGAATAGTAATTATATTAAATAATTTTCTAACAAAAAAACTGTAAATTTTCATTTACACATTTAACTTGTTGCTATGTTATAATTGTTTTCAACAATGTTTTTATTTCGTTGGTTTATTATTATCAAATTAGAAAAATAAACACACGCATATACTGACGAATAGACAAATGCCGATTATGATTAGGCGACATATAATTGTGGCACTCATTAAGATAGGACGTAAATACTATTGAAACAAGATTGATGTGTTATAAAGATTCCAATGTGTATGTATGTTTGACCACAAACAAACAATTTACTACTGATAACCACCAGAGTTCATAAATAAATGACTCCAGAAAAATTTCAAGTAAAAATCAATAAAATGTTTGCAATCAAATATCATAGCGGAGTTAGTTGCTATTATTATCCAATTCAGTGAACTACAAAGTAGACGAAGATGTATGTATTTAAGAGAGTAATAATAATAATGATATAACGACAATAATTTATTTTGTAAAATTATTTTCAATTTCTAACCGATTTGTGATGTAATCTGTGTATCTGTCATTCCAAAATAGTTCTAAGTTGCCACAGAACTATATACCATAGATTTAGGTAAATATTATTCGGTAGATCATATCGGTATTAACATTTTTAAATAATTAAAACAGATTTATTAGAGTATCAAATTCAAATTTATGCGATTGTTACCTAACCCTTTCAGACCAAGCTTTTTCAATTGTGAGATCTGACTATTTTTAAGGGAAGGTAGTATAAACATGTGTATGGATGTGTAAATTAATTTTTATTGGTTCTGTATTTCTTTGTTATCTCTTTAGACCATATAAAATGCAAATAAACTGAGAACGAACATAACGTATGGGTGAAATTTGCCATTACACCTCTCAAAAAATTTCTTAATTAACTTCATTCATTTTTCTCTTCTCTTATTTCAGATTAAGCTGTATTACATCTATATAGATTGGTCATTGGAACAATTTCAAAATGTCCGACATTGCCAGAATCGATATCGATCAGCCTAAATATGATCAAAGCACTTATCTCAATCGTGCCAAACATTTCTTCCTCCTGACAAATCCTCTCAATTTGTTGGCCTCAAATGCCGAACTGGAACGGGCCAAGCGTATTGTAACCGATTATCGTGCTGGCAAGCCTGTACCTGATGTCAAGAATGTTGAAGATTTGTGGAGAGCCAAATATTTGTATGATTCGGCTTTCCATCCCGAGACTGGAGAGAAATCATTGATCATTGGCCGTATGTCTGCCCAGGTGCCAATGAACACATTGATTACAGGATGTAAGTACAAAACGAACAAAAAACTCTACTACGTTATATAACAACATTTGTATTACTTAACTAACTGCGGACAAGAGAAATGTGTGACGTTAATTGAATTTGAAAATTTCAAGTTCATTCCTGCTAGTTCAATGAACGATCACATTTCACACAGATACAGTTGTGGACGCAATTTATTTTAGTTTCCCGCACATAATACCCATAAATATGTACATATGTGTTTGTTGTTCTGTTATTAAAGAAATAGATTGAATAATTTAATAAAAAAAAGGGCATTTGTTGTAGTAGTGTTGCGTACCAAAGGGCCGGCTCGTTTATTTCCAAGTTCAAATTTGTTTCTCACATATGGGTTATTGTTTGTTTTCTTTTAGGCATGCTTTCTTTCTACAAAACAACACCGGCTGTGGTTTTCTGGCAATGGGTCAATCAAACATTTAATGCTGTCGTCAACTATACAAATCGTTCCGGATCAACACCCATCTCCAAAGAGTGAGTATTCTAAATAGGGTTGGACGAAATGTATTTTTTTTTTTTTTTTTTTTTTTGTGAAATTTATTCACATATCTGTGATTGGTCTCTTTTAATAGGCAATTGGTGACCTCGTATATCTTGGCTACTGGTGGTGCGTTGACAACCGCTTTGTCCTTGAATAGAATAGTTAAGGTGAGATTATATTTAATGTTTACTAGTTTAAAATGGCATATATTTAATAAAAATCTGCTACTAATGAAATATTTTTTTTTTTAGAATTTGAATCCATTGATTGGACGCTTAGTACCTTTGGCTGCTGTTGCAGCTGCTAATTGCATCAATGTACCAATGATGCGTTTGCAGTAAGTATGAATTATAGATTTTCTTAGGAAAAAGTAATGAGTATTTATCTAATTTATTTAGAGAATTGAAGAACGGTGTTACTCTTTTGGATGAACAAAATAATGAAATGGGTATTTCTAAGAAGGCTGCCGCTGTCGGTATTACCGCGGTTGTTGCCAGTAGAATTGCCATGGCAACACCTGGCATGGGTAAGATTCCATAAGATATAAGTGATCAAAGTAAACACAAGCTTACTTTTATTTTCGTTTATTTCAGTACTCACACCTTTACTCATTAACAAATTGGAAAAAGGCGGATTCCTAAAACGTTTCCCCAAGGCTAGTGCACCCATCCAAACATTGTTTTGCGGCTTTGTTTTGATCTTTGCCACACCTCTCGGCTGTGCATTCTTCAGCCAAAGAGCTGCCATTAATGTAAGTTATTACTTGTCATTTTGCAAAGACATTTCGCAATATTAATTGAATTGTTATTCCAAATTTAAGGTTGACAGCTTGGAACCTGAAGTTAAGGATAAAATTAAGAAGAAGAATCCTGCTTTGACTGAAGTATGGTTCAATAAGGGTTTGTAAATCCCCAACCATATCATCTACAAAAAAAGACGCAATAACATTGGCAGTATTGCATCAATTCTACTCCTAAACATGGAAAAGAGCTTAGCAAATTAAAAACTAAACAAAAAAGAACAAAAGGAAATAGAAACACTTTGATTGCATATTTTATTAAAAATAAATGTGTTTGACAATAATTTGCAGTAACAACTACAGCAAAGAATCGTTATTAAGTACATACATATATCAACCAATCAATAATTATTTACGGTTAAGTTCATTACTCGTAGTTTAGTTGTCCATGTTGGCGCATAGGACAGAACATAAATCAATTTCAATGTATTCCACGTGTAGTTGTGTATCTATTTCGATTATTGTTAATTGTATTCCATATTTCAATTGCATTTATTTCAGTCAGTGTTTTTAGTATATATAGTCTTTATTCAGAAAATATTTATATATTTTTATAAATATTTGATATTTTGTTATTTCAATTTCAATAAGTATATCAAACTAATTAAGTTGTTATATGTAATTAAAATGATAATAAAAAAAATAAAGATATACCTCAATACTTTACGTATCCATGTGTGACAAATAATTTTGCACAACAGTGTATACATAACAGCTGCATTCAAAATATTAGCTAAATGTAACACTTGAGGATAAAAGTATTATTTCGATTGCAGTTATTTTTTGAGACAACATTTTAAAGAAGGAACACATGTACTTTAGAGACACCACTTAGAAAATGTGGATGTTTTCTATAGATACTGATTACAAAAACATACATTTTGGACGAAAATCAATACTTCCTGAGGTATGGGTTTCCAATGTTATAAAAAATAGATTACCACTCAAAAATGCTTTCATTTTTTCGAATAATAATCCTTCGGCCGGTATTCAAGCCATAGGCAGAACAACCCTATATGAACCCCTTAATACAGCTTTGTCAGCTTATTGCCGTGTACCTCCTGAAAGATGAAGTTCTCAAAAACAAGTTAATGTGATTGTAATCAGCATCGGAAGGGCTACACATTTGTGAGCTGTAGTCTTTAGGACTTTTAATAAAAAGTTGGAATTTTTTGGACTATGGAATCGTATATATCTCATAAGGGATTTATTCTCTCCTTTCCTTACGTATTAATTATGTCTTTGTATACATTTTATAAACCTATTACTTTTATTGTGATGAATTCGATTTATTACAAGATCTTCACTTTTGTTTTCGATTTCAAAAATCATTTGTTATACCCTCCACCATAGTAAGGAGGGTATATTAATTTTGTCATTCCTTTTTAAAAACATCTAAATATTGATTTCTGATGTTGAAATCTTCCATAGGTTGAGCTTAATATCGGTCCACATTAGGCATTTCAAATTTTGCTATCAATATTGGGCAATCTTAAAGTAAATGTCCGATTATCTATGATAATTTCTTTTTTAATTTTTTTATTTCAATTATTTACTAATCAATTTGTGTAGATCTCCTCTCCCTGATCACGAAAATATATGTCATTCAATTCAATAGTTTCCGAAATTTGGGAGTCTGAAACTGCGTCATTTTGTAATTTTCGTGATCAAAACTCAACTGAAGTCACGAATTTAAAAAGACTTACCCGAAAATGTCCCTGATTTAATTTCACTCTTCAATATTGAAATGTATTAATTTCATCACACTTTTTTACTAGGTTTTCAACATTTATTATACAACTGAGAGTTTTCAAATAAAATATTTGTTTTTCTCCATTCTTTGAATTTAATTTTTTCCAACAGAATTTTCAGCACTATGGATATAAAAGCAAATTGCACCATTTCGTTCGTATTGTGTTGCACTTATTGCATGTACGATTTCATAAATAATACGATGTGGCAACACTTCGTCGCGATATGTGTTATCGAAAATACAACAACCATAAGGAAACACATGATGCAATAAAGGGCTAAGCAGAATGCTCGCGTTGAGCCATCCGTCGCGTTATATGCGTTTGTGTTATCGTTTCCTTGTGGTTGTTGTATTTTCTATAACATATAACGCGACGGATGGCTAAACGCGAGCATTCTGCTTAGCCCTTAACTTCAAGCGTTATGCGATATGCGTTTGTGTTATCGTTTCCTTGTGGTTGTTGTATTTTCGATAACATATAACGCAACGGATGGCTCAACGCGAGCATTCTGCTTAGCCCTTTAGTGTTATCGTTTCCTTGTGGTTGTTGTATTTTCGATAACACATAACGACGGATAACTCAACGCGAGCATTCTGTTTAGCCCTTTAGAGTTATATATATATATATATATTAACTTTTTGCGAGCGTTAAATTCTTATTTCTATTTCTATCTCTAGGATTTTTGTAATTTTTTATTTAAAATTAATCATATCTAGTTTTTATAGAATATTTAATCTATCCAAACTACCCTCCAAAGTTTGAAAATTTTATAAATATGTTCATGCTGTCAAAGTTATGTATGGGGAAACTAAGTAATTACTTCATAATTAAGGGCCGAACCACGAATGAGAGAGGGAACAAAGCGCGTCTGTACATGGCATTAGACTTTTCAACAAAAAAATCGATTAATCGAAAGTCGATTTACTTATCCCTAATCATAATTTGCCTAAACCTCATTCGTAAACAACACGGTTTTCCATTGAAGGGCTAAACAGAATGTTCGCGTTGAGCGTTTTTTGTTATCGCGTTAACGCACGCAAAAAGTTAAAATATATTTAAAGGGCTAAACAGAATGTTCGCGTTGGGCGTTTTTTGTTATCGCGTCAACGCACGCAAAAAGTTAAAATATAATTAACTTCAAAGCGCAGCGCACATCAACTTCATGCGTTAGTGTTATCGTTTCCTTGTAGTTGTTGTATTTTCGATAACACAAAACGCAACGGATGGCTCAACGCGAGCATTCTGCTTAGCCCTTTAGTCTCCATCCCACCTCATTCGTAAACTTTCGGTTATACCATTTTGAGTTCATCTTTATCGGCCATTTTGTCTTCTCCTCTCATTCGTTAGCAAGTGGAACGTTTTTCATTTTTTTCAGTCGTCGTTTTTATTTTTTTGGCGAAGGTTTGCGTACGACGTCGCTTGAGTCTTGGCAGAACGACGATTAACAAGCGAATTTTATGAAGGCTGGAGTCTTGGAGGCTTCCCTCTCATCCGTCGCGCCATCCGTCGCGTTGAGCCATCCGTCGCGTTATATCTTATGGAAAACACAACAACCACAAGGAAACGATATGCGTTTGTGTTATCGTTTCCTTGTGGTTGTTGTGTTTTCGATAACATATAACGCGACGGATGACTCAACGCGAGCATAACACAAACGCTCAATGTTGTTGTGCGCTGCGCTTCGGAGTTAAGGGCTAAGCAGAATGCTCGCGTTGAGCCATCCGTTGCGTTATGTGTTATCGAAAATACAACAACCACAAGGAAACGATAAAGGTGGGATCACATGATTGTCGCAATGCGCCAATTTAAACCAATTTTTATTGTCCAAAGTTTTACTACAATAAATAAATTGTCACAATCAAATTCTCTGCGGTCACATGATTGTCCAACTTTTCATAAATTTGATTGCCGCATATTGTCTCAAAACCATCAAGTGACAATTATTGTCCAACTTCAGTCACACGATTGTTCTACTACACGGCAAATATCAGAAGCAGCTGCTATGTGTCAAAGTTTGTTTATTAAAAATGTTAAAGCATTTAAAAATTTGTTTTATTAAGATGTGTTCTTTAAAAAAAAAGAAAATTGCAGCAGCTATAATTATGGTGTGTGCATTTGACGATGAGAAAAATGAAAGGAAAGAAAAGAAAAAAAAAGTAAATAGAAGTACGTGGGTCAGAGAGTGGCTCACAAAAAGAAGCACTGATGGTGCATATGACAAAACATTAATGGAATTCCGGGAAATCGAAAACCAAAAGTTTTTGTTTAAAAATTTTATCCGGATGGATGTTGCAACTAGTGTCACCATATATTAAAAAACAAGACACAAACATGCGAAAGGCTATTCCCGAACAAATACGCTTAGCTGTGACACTTCGATTTCTTGCATCTGGTGACAGTTATAAAAGTCTTTCGGTCTTCTTCCGTGTTGCCCCAAATACCATATCACTTTTCGTACCAATTGTTTGTGATGCTATTTATAAAGCGTTAAAAGGTGCATACATAAAGGTATGAAAAATCTAAATACACACATATTTATGCTTTTTAATTGACTTATTATTTCTTTTGATATGTATGTAGATACCATCCACGCAGGAAGAATGGAATGTCGTTGCTTTCAAATTTAACAAACTATGGAACTTCCCGAACTGCATAGGGGCGGTTGACGGCAAACATGTGCAAATTATAGCACCACCTAATTCAGGAAGCACCTTCTATAACTATAAAGGTACACATAGTATAGTGCTAATGGCAGTTGTTGATGCCGAATACAACTTTTTATACGTTGATGTTGGCTGTAATGGTCGTGTGTCGGATGGTGGAGTCTTTGGAGACTGTACTTTTCAACGTGCTTTAAACAATAATGAGCTAAATTTGCCACTTCCAAAACCATTGCCAGGTCGTCAAGCAAATGTTCCATTTGTTTTGGTTGCGGATGATGCTTTCCGCATGCAGAAACATTTGCTGAAGCCATATCCTGGTAAAAGTTTATCTGCAGGGCAGAGAATATTTAACTACAGGCTATCGAGAGCACGACGTGTTGTAGAAAATGCATTTGGCATAATGGTCAAGCGATTTCAAATTTTTTCACGCCCTTCCAAGCTTAATGCAGAGAAAACAACCTCTACAACTCTAGCTTGCTGTGCATTACACAATTTTTTGTTAAAAAAAAATTTAAATTATACAACGTCGTTGCTTGTTGATCGCTACGATGAGGACGGTGCTTTAATTCCTGGTACATGGCGAAATGACTTCCCACTAGATGCTGTGAGTGGAACAGAAAATGTTCCAAGTTCTTATATAACAAGTGAAGCAAAGGCTGTTCGGGATGAAATGGAAAAGTATTTCATGTCTCCTATTGGAGAATTGAGCTGGCAATATAAAAATATATAAATAATTTTATATATCAAATAAAATTTAAACTTTAATTTAAAATCAGAAAATTTACTAGTTTTATTTAATTCATTTTTAGTATCTAAAAAAATACGGACTAGGAAGGTACTTCAATATTGCAAACAAAATAACAAAACAAAAACTTACATATACATACTATAAAAATTCAATTTAAAAAATGAAATATAACGCAAAAAATTTATCAAGGCTTAATCATCTTCTTCAGCTTCCAAAGCTGCATCCATTACGACTTTGACAAGCTGGAAATGCAGTTTGTTCGCAGCCTTCTTGTTTTTCTTGGCAATTTCTCGCATTTGTGATGCCAAATACATCCCAATCGCGTGCCAATTATCTTCCTCCGCATCTAAACACTTAACTGCACGCTGCAAAATGTCACTTTTGTCTACCTTTACAATCTCAGCAGCGGCATGTTGTGAAGTACTTCCAGAGTCATCCAAATCTAATGTTGACACTGTACTTGACATTTTTGACACAGAGTGGTCGTTGTAAAATTGCATTGCAGACCAATGCGGCCAATGTGGTATGGTATTTTCGGCTCCCTGACCAGATTTTGATTTTAGTTTTTTTTTTACATTTTGAAAGGCCGTTTTAATGTTGCACCATTTGGCCTTGCAGTCTTCCACCGTGTGCCCTGTACACATTTTTTCAATTTCCCGCCATGCCTGCTCCCGTTTATTCCTATCTTTGTACTCGGTGGATGAATACTGCCAAACACATGGATGCTGTTCCACAGCTTGTATCAGCTCCTGTATTGCAGTGTAGGTCCAGGAACAAATTACACTTGGTTTTTTTTCTTTTTTTCGGCACAGGTGTTTCTGGTTGCTGATCGGGGGAAAAGAACTCAAGCTCAGCTGAATTTTCGTATACAATGCAATCACCGAATTCCATATTAAAGCTGCAAATACATAATATGAACATAATTATAGCAAATACAACAATTTAAATTAACTTTACTTTACTTACGACAAAGAAATGTTGACGGTACAAACACAAGAAAAAATATTATTTAAAAAAAATCAGGTTATTGACGCGTATTGTCTTCTTTGATTGACGCACTAGAAAACAATAAATATTGACGCATTTTTCAACTTTAAATTTGCGCAAGGTTGTCTATTAACAGTTCACACGATTGTCGTACCAGAGTTGTATTTGATTGCCGCAAATCAGCACAATTTATTTTTGATTGTCGCATTGGACAATAAATTGTGCAATCACACGATTGGCATATAAAATGCACCAATAATTGGCGCATTGCGGCAATCATGTGATCCCGCCTTAACACAAACGCTCGAAGTTGATGTGCGCTGCGCTTCGGAGTTAAATATATTTTAACTTTTTGCGTGCGTTAACGCGATAACAAAAAACGCTCAACGCGAACATTCTGTTTAGCCCTTTAGAGTTGGGCAATCTAGTTCACTTAGCGCATCGATCTTTCTCGTTCCTTTGTTTTTAAAGGAACTAGTTCCTTAATGTAGTTTCTTTGCTCCATATAGTTCCTTTACTCCATACAATTCCTTTGCTCCATATAGTTCCTTTGATCCATATAGTACCTTTGATCCATATAGTACCTTTGCCTCATATAATTCCTTTACTCCATACAGTTCCTTTGCTCCATATAGTTCCGACTCCTACATAGTTCTTTTGAACCTCTCTTTTATCATTATTTTTTTCGTTTTGCCATATATAGTTCTTTTGCTCCATATAGTTCCTTTACTCCATACAATTCCTTTGCTCCATATAGTTCCTTTGTTCCATATAGTACCTTTGGTCCATATAATTCCTTTACTCCTTTGCTCCATATAGTTCCGATTCCTACATAGTTCTTTTGAATCTCTCTCTTTCATCATTCTTTTTTTCGTTTTTCCATATATAGTTCCTTTACTCCATACAATTCCTTTGCTCCATATAGTTCCTTTACTCCCTACAGTTCCTTTGCTCCATATAGTTCCTTTACTCCCTACAGTTCCTTTGCTCCAAATAGTTCCTTTGATCCAAATAGTTCCTTTGCTCCATATAGTTCCTTTGGTCTTTATAGTTCCTTTGCTCCATATAGTTCCGACTCGTACATAGTTCTTTTGAATCTCTCTCTTTCATCATTCTTTTTTTTCGTTTTTCCATATATAGTTCCTTTACTCCATATAGTTCCTTTACTCCATACAATTCCTTTGCTCCATATAGTCCTTTGCTCCATACAGTTGCTTGGATCTTTATAGTTCCTTTGCTCCAAATAGTTCCTTTGCTCCATATAGTTCCTTTGCTCCATATAGTTCCTTTGCTCCATATAGTTCTTTTGCTCCATATAGTTCCTTTGCTCCATATAGTTCCTTTACTCCATACAATTCCTTTGCTCCACATAGTTCCTTTGATCCAGATAGTTCCTTTGATCCAAATAGTTCCTTTGCTCCAAATAGTTCAAAAAAGGAACTGGATCAGAAAAAGGAACTATATTAATTAAAGAGCTGGAACTAGTTCCGATCGTTCCTTTCTCGGAATAGTTCCAATGAACTAGTTCGTTCCGGAACTACCCAACTTTAGCAACATTAAACGTGTGTCGCTGTTTTAGCTCTAGGATTTTTGTAATTTTTTATTTAAAGCTAATCTCTTCTAGTTTTTATAGAGTATTTAAAATTAACGGTTAGGGGTTTCTCTAAAGTGAAACAACAACCAAATTTGCTTGCTGGAAAAGCAAAATTCTCAAGAGGAAAACAATCTATTTGGTAACACACGATTGAACGAGCGATTGTGTGTTAATTAAAATTAAAGCACAGTTGAAACGCAAGTGTATCGCGGCAGCAGCGACAACGGACTCATCCAAAACATTCCAAACTAAAGAAAATCCTGTTCCACGTTGTCTTCCCAGTTATCCAAGCATGAAAGCAGTTGACACTCTTTGTTGTATTTGTCGAAGTGTCATAAAATAATTTCGAAATTTCATTGGTAAACAAAATCATTGGTGAATAATAAAATTCTGAATTCTGGCGATATTATCTATCATTCATTATTTCTTATCAAAGGAAGAACAATGAAAGAAAATCAAGAATAATTACAAAAAAAAAAAAAATACAATAAAAAATCTCAGAGAATCGTATAAAAAACATTGTCAACAGAGAAAGAGAGCAAGAGCAGAGAACCGAATTGGCTAGCGTGTGGGGGAAAAGCCAAAAACGCAACAAAACACTGGCATTTGCAATCTCGTTCAGTCAGTCAAGAAACAGTAGAGCATACGGCGGCAGGCAGCCAACTAATAACACCATCTCTCAAAATAAAGCTTGAGCTGCCTCCACTCCAGCTAAACGCAGGGAAAATAACGCTCGGAAGGCTTCTTCAACAAGAGAGGAGTGCTTGCAAGAAAAAACAAACGCCAACAATTTGTCGAAAGCACGGAAATCAAGGAATAACAAAAATACCACAAAAGAAAGTTGCTTTGATACGTTTATGGAATAATAAAATTTAAAAGAGAAGCAAAAAAGGAAAAAAGATAGAATTGAGTGCTGTGAAAATAAGTGAAATATCGCATCAGCTGTTAATAGAAATTACACACAACTTCAAGTGCATAGCCGATTTATTCTCCAACCGTCATGAATCCCGATGATTATGAGTCTTTGCCCACGACAAGTGTGGCCATTAATATGACAGCTGGAGCCATAGCCGGTGTTTTGGAGCATATTGTCATGTATCCCATGGACTCAGTAAAGGTAAGATTCAGTCGTAGCAAATGTTCGGCAACAACTACAACAGCAGTGCTGATAACTGACACAATTATTTTCGTTTGATTGGAACCACAAAAAAATGGCAATTACCTAACCTAACATTTGGGCAGCTTTTTTATAGTGCGTTTAGTGATGTAATTCACCTTTTTTTCGTTTTCTACTAAGTGCGGTGGTGCTACAAATACGGATAAATGTACGCTCACTAATTACTCTCCCTATTTGGGTTTTGTACTCAATCTTTCAATCTCTCTCTCGCACTCGGGTCCCCTCTACGTTGGTCTGGCTGGAATGGTGGAGACGAGGCGAGAGTTTTGCGAATGGTGAATGTGTTATTCTTGATTTTTGTTTTTATACCCGCGTTTTAATGCTCCCCGCTCCCTTGCACAATGTTATGAACACACAATGGTACCTTCATCACCTACAACCACTGCGCGCATTCAACGAAAATTCCTAGAGATATTGAAAGCGAGCGAGCGAAGTGGTTTGTGTGTTCATGAGCGTTTGTTATTTTTTTTAGATATTCTTTTGGTGGTTTATTGTTGTTGTTTTGGACTCAAAAATAACTTGTGCATGCTGCAACAACACCGTCTAAAATCAGCTGATTTCTTTTTTTGGTTTATTTATTGGATGTAATATTTGTAATAGAATGCTGGCTACCAAGAGTGTCAAAGTGTGAAATGTTGTTATGTGTTTCAGTTCAGCAAAAATTGAAAAAAATGCGTTAAAAGTGTACAATTTATTGTTGTTCGTTGAATATTTTAAGTACATAATTCAGAAAGTGGATCTGATTTGAGTTTCTGACAATTTTATTCCCATGATTTTTATTCTGCCCTGTCTGAGATTAGTCCAACATTTCGGTAAATTCCCTATCTGGGATGAGTCCAACATTTCGGTAAATTCCCTATCAGATCTGTCGAATATTTCGCCAAATTCCTTTATCGCTGTTCTTTATTTCGCTAATGTAATTCAAATTTTATTTACAACACTCCATCTTCTGCATTGGATATTAATTTTAGACGTGCCCTTCTGTGAGCGAGAATCCACGTTTTTATATCGAAAATTTGCCTTTTCTTATGTAATTTCACAAAACAAGAAATGTTTTTGTGAACGCCCAGAAAGGCAATATGCTTTAGTTTGGTTCCTACTAATCGAATAATTCTGCTAACACTCGGTCTAAATAAAATAAATACGTGTGGATACATTCCATTGCCAACATAATTGAATGTGAAATAAATCGTGGAATTGGGTTGTTCAGTCGAACGTTAATTCATTCTCTTTGGAAACCTAAGCCTTCGAAATTATACTCAATTTAATTTATTTTCATATTAAAGAGAATCTAGCCCAAAGGACAATAGCGATTCCGGAAACAACAATATATGAACTACTCCAAGGCATCAAACATGGAACATGAATGTTTTTATTCATTACAGATCTGCTAAATGAAAACAAAAAACTTTAACGGGCTTTACCAAAGTGGTTTCTTTATCAAAACAAAATGTTAGCGTATGTTTACCTAGGTTTCATATTCATTGTCAATTCTATTTACGTTAGTAGTTACGTTTTCGATAATTTTACAATTTTATGGGTTTTAATTTCAAGTAATTTTTGTTTCCATCTGGGTTCCACTTGTCTTCTTGCCGAATATATTCCGATTTTGTATACAGTCGAGAAGTATACAAGTAGTGCCGTTCAATAACTGTTTAACAACAGAATTAGCTACAATTGTCGATAACTGCAAATTTCCATATGCTTTTAATTTCGTTTATTAACAAAAATGATGGGTAAAAAAAGAAAGCAATCGTTAAGTCCTATGGATAGAAGAGATATCATTATATAGATATGAATACGTTGACATACATTTTATTTTTTTCATGAACAATATGAGTTTTAGTTTTGCGAATATTTGTCGGTAATAAAAAAAATATTTACAGAATTACACTACAGAATTTTATACCCAGAATTATAATTTCACATCTGTTTTTTTTCAAGCCAATTCGTTTGAATTGCATGTTTTTAGAATTCCATTGTAACATAAATTACGAAGACATAGAAACCGTAAAGGCGCGACAAAATGCATTTTGAGAAATAGTTTATGAAAAAATATGTATTATCAGACACAACAGAGGCGTGTTAAGAATAAAAACGCCAATATTCGAGTATTGGCCTTTTTATTCTTAAAATGTAAATAAAATCATCAGAGGTCTGCACTCAAAATATATATTTTCATTTTATAAGCTTACGATATAGCACTAAATGTATACTTTTATGTCTTTGTAATTTACTGACCATATTGGCTTTTTATATTACACTGAATTGAATTAATTAATGAAAGGAAGCTCGTGTAGAATATTAGCTAAAGCAATATTTTAATAAACTAACAAATTATACAAATCTAGTAAACAAATATTAAAAAAAAAATATTGCATCTAAAAATTAATTGGCTTTTATACAATATATTGAACAAAATGTTCTCATAATGGCGAATAGTGTATTTGAAATCCTTCATGTGTCGACTACTGTACGCTTACCATATTCCAAACATAGAAAGCCGTTAACTTCAACTTATATAGAATATATGTACATATAATAAATCAAAATGATTAAGGCGATTGCATGTTTCAAAAGAATATACATTCACTTCTTACTGTGAGTCACTACACCATTAGATATTTATTGAAATTGTGATTGTCGAATTTTCCTCAGCAAACGAAATAAACGATTCTTTTTATCCTTTCAATGTGTGTTGAAAAATGCCATAATTTTTTCACATACAATTATGTCAATATCTATAGATTGTTAAAACACCAGAATACTACGAGCGCATATCAAAATACGTCAAGTTGAATAAGCTATTCGTATTTCCAAAAATTAAATTTTAATGCAACCATTCAACTTTTTTTCTCTTAAATAGTTAACATTTGTCAACTTCTATTGAATAGGTAATGCTCGCTGAAATCTTATCAAATATCGCGTGCCAGTCATTCATTCAGTCATATATATACGATGTATTCTTAACTAAATATTTCTTGCGATATTTACAAATCATTGCGTTTTAAAACATGTTCATATATTTCCGTGGAATACACAGAAGCACATGAAATAAATTTGAAAATATGTTGCCCCCCTTATCTATTGTGGTATTATTGTGTGTATATTGTTGGTTATCTGAGGGGCATTTTTTACTTTGTATCACCATTCCTAATAAGCTCCCTACCTAGAACCTAGCAATTTTTTGTTTGTTTTGTTGTTAAATGTTAATGACATTATCAATTTTATGTACTTTGACTGCTAACATTGAGAAAATGCGAATTTTAAATTAAAATTATAATTTTCGTCGAATTAAAAAAAACAGTTCGTTATTTTTGCTTTAAGCAATTTTGTGAAAGGAAATCACCCCTATTCTGTATGTCGTCGTCGACACGAAACGACGTCGAAGAGAGTCGTCTTTTGCAAATTGGTATTCACTATGTCGTTGTCGACATTTATCGATAACTATTGAAACATTTTTGGTATTCCGTAACAATGTGTGACGACGACGATGTCGAAGATTTCTTCGTCATAGTTTTTGTTGACGACTAAAGCGTTTGATTTTTTTTTTTTTTTTTTTTTGATATTAAAAAAAAATACGACCGGACAAGAACAGGATACATCATTCTAGAATCTATTCAATACTTAATGCAAAATAAAGTGTAAATAAAGAAAAATATATGGGATCTATATATAAATCAAAACCGATTTTGACCAATGTCAATGGGACTCGTCTATGTGGAAATAAAATTTCATCCCAATTGGATGGATTTTTTCCAAATTTCACCCCGTTCGGATCATAATGGTGACATGTAACTTGTTTAAAATAATACATGAATGGAGGGACATGCATAAATCGACTGAAAAATAATTCTATGTACATACTATATACTAAAAAGTAACTATGGGTCTATCTCGTTTCTTTTTGGTCGTTGCAAACACATTTACCAAGACATAATGCCCTGTGCCACAGTGCGGTGAAGGATACAAACACATTTTTGCCCAAAAATATTTGTTGCATATTTTTGGGCAAAATTTTTGTTTTTATTATTTTTGTTTTTATATATATCGATAAATAGTCGACATCGTCGCATGAGTGTTACAGAATACCAAATCAGTGTCGAAGTGATGTCGATGTCGATGCGAAGTGATGTCGAAAGAGAAACGTCGTCGACAACGACGACGACATACGGAATAGGGGTGAATATGTTTTTACAAAAAAAAAAAAAAAATATCTAGTGACTTTGTGTTTTCCCATTAACTCTATCATTTAGCAAAATAGCATCGAAAAGCACGTTGGCACAACGTCACAACTTTATCTAGACCATATATACATTTTTATCGTGAATTGCAAATATTATAACCACTATACAAATAGGCACATGATTCAAAAAGTTTAAAATACTTTGAAAGAATGATAAACAAATTGATAAATACTAACGACATGACTTTACTATTGGAGTAAATATCAATTATATTATGTACAAATGATAAAAAAATCTTAAAAAAATGTCAATCAATCATCTGTATTTCCAATATCCAATGTATTTTTAGTAGTCCAATATCCCTCCCTTTTACATTTAACCCGCTTAATATGATAAAATTTATATTTAATTGTGAAATGTAGCTTACAGCCTTAAGGTCGAAAGACTGGGCAATATGAAACATAAAATAAAGACTGGAGACCATTCGGCATGTTTTTTTTTCCTCAAAGTTCTTTATCTCAGTACTGATTCAACAGATACAAAAACTTTATTATTGTTCTCTGGTACTTAATTATAAAAACTAGTACCAAAAATATAGTACAGTAAATTAGTATTAGTTAAAAATTTGTACAGTTTTGTAAAAAAAAGTCAAATTCGCCGATTGTGTCCCTACCCGGAATAGCTTCGGCATTTGATGGGGCACATTCAGCACCACAGCCATAGTCTGGTAATTATCACAGCTATCAGTCTGGT